TTCTGAAGTCAAGCATCAGCTGACGTCACTAGTTCCCGAATGGGTGACCACCCGGGTTTTTTTATTGATGGATCCAATATATATATTATATATATTATGGTCGTACGTTCTATCTGCGAAAACGGTCCGAGTATACGTACCAGTCGCCGCTGTTAGCTAGCTCCCTGATAGGTAGGTGACCAACTGTGATTTTAGACACATAAATATGTGTTCCATACCAACTATTTACCCTACAAACAACTAATGGCCATAGTTGCCGGGCTTTAGATCAATAAAAAATAAAATAAAATTACAAGGTTGTAAAATTAAAAGTATAATAGTTTTTAGGTACGTAGATAGGTTAGATAAGTAGTTATTTATACTTTAACAGATAAATCTAAACAACAACTTTATTATTTTTGGCCCATTTCTTCATCATTTTAATCATTTGTTCAACCTGAGAATTTGACGAATTTCTTAATAAATGTATGACATCAGCTATCTGATCTCTACATTAAAATAAAAACGTTATTATTATTAGTTATAGTGATTTAGAAACAATTGTACTGAAACGTTTTTCAACAGTGGTGAAATTTTGGTGATAGGCGGAAGCTTCAGATGATTCAGATTCTAGGGGTCCCTCTAATTTCGCCACTGGTGTTTACATTAACGTACCTACATTTAGTAGGTTCAATAAAAAGTTATACAATAAATAAGGGCAATTTAAACGCACTGTGGTTGATTTCCAAGAACAATTTGTTGAAATATTCCAGCACAAGCACCACGTTTTCCCTCCCAATATTCAGGTAACAAATCTAATCTTTCGAGCATATCAAATGCTTTTGCTGATTGCCAAAACTGACTAGTTTTATAACAATCGTTAGCGATCGATTGCAATATCATTAATGAATCTTGTGAATTTTCAATTTTCAAATATAAATCCCAAGCTGATTGCGGCTTTTTATTCATAATAACTAAAAAAAAAAATAGTATAAATTTAAATCTGAATAGGTACCTAACTAATATCTAAGTGGCTAAGTAACATCTTAAATATTGTATAGGGTTTATGTTATGGACATAATATATACATAAAAATTAGGATATTTAAACATTTAGTTTCCAGACATATACTTAAAGGATCCTAAATTAAAAAAATAACCACTTCGAGTAGATTATAGTCTATTGTGTAGAAACATTTATTTTATTTATCAGATCATAGAAACTCATCTAGGTCACCCGCCTTGTGCAGACAGTTTAAATTTAAAACACCCCACGAATTGCAATTGTTATGCAAAAACCACCTCAGGATGGGTCACTAAATAAAATGAATTATTTATTTTTGTCCACGCTTAGAGACTGTACAATTACTATTTACTATAACCATTTATTTGTATGAGTACAAAATGTCTGAACTCTAAATATCCGTATCCCGCATAATATATTATATTG